TCAAATCTTGAGCACTTTACGAAAAGCTAACCTGTTCACAACAGATTTCACACTTTTTATATTTTCACTTGGAAAACATCGATGAGAGAAGCTTGTTACCCTTCCCATTTCTCATCCTTTCCCGAGCAAACGCGTAATAGATGGACTTTAAGCCTCTAGAAATACCTGGAAAGAAGATACTTTGACGGTTCATAGTAGAAAGAGTTCATAGCAACAKCACAGGAAATCCTGTGTTATAAATGACTAACAAAACAGTGCTAATTTCATTGCGGGGTATAGTGCAGAGTTCCTAAGTGTACCCGCAAGCAAGCATAGAAACATATASCACAGTAGACCTTTGATCGATGATAGAGATGTTAAAATATTTTTTGTCCTAAATTAGCTCATAAAAAGACCATTCGCTAACTTGCTTCTTGACATTCAAATACAAGGTACTCATTCGATCAGCGATGTCTTTATTTTGCCAAAAACGCTGCTTTTTGGTTTGCTTTCAATAAGTGATCGATGAGTTTCAATAACTCTCTGTTTCCTCCGTAAATAGATCTAACGAATGAATTATCAAGACATTTTCTACTGCGAATAAAGGGAAAACATTCTGGAACGAATCATCATGCTTTATAACTGAGAAGTAATTCTAGAATGAGTGATCAACCAAGAAAGGAAATGTTCTTTGCATTAAGCAAATACACTTGGCTCTCAAGAGACTAATCTATGATAATGACGATGTGTTATCACAAACCTTTAGGATTATAATTTTTTTGTCTTATTCAGCTAATCATTTYGTCTAACATCTGCTGCTCACACAGAGTTTAAAGTGATAAAAACCAAAATGAATTTTACAGAAAAGTTAGAATACAGGCCTCATGTTTTATGTCATGCTCGGGGCTGTTTTACTGTACGATAGACGTGTACTTACAGATCGGCTATGAGAGCTGCTGTCAATTATTGGTATTACATCGACTTATGTATTATCTATTATCCATACATAAATGTTTTAGATTCTAGATAAGGYATAGCATATTGTGATTGGATTCTATGAGCATTTTTGATATTTTTGATATTATCGTGTAACACGCACCTGTTTTTTTTTTCAACTCCAGCAAAAGTGCTCCCTTTGCTCACTAATGCTTTAACAATTATCATTTATATATGCGAATATATTTCGATCAGTGATTTATAGATCAACAGTTCAATGATAACCTGAGGTTAGGATAATGCTTAAACAAATCAAGATGCATCGATAAAGAGACTCCGACGACGTTAGAAAATGCGCATGACCCTGAAGGCTTGATAACTTGGGATATTCGCCGTAAATCAAACCATACATACATAAAATGTCAAAAACTTTGAACTGTTTAATTCATTAAGGAACCACAGTTTAAACAAATTATCAGCAATCCTTTGGGTGTCTTAAATTAAAG